GGGGAGTGTCACATTCGGTGTTGGTTTGGTTTGTGTCTTTAGCTACTTGCTTATAAAACTGTTTTCATGCATTTTTTCTCTGAAGTGAAAGTTAATCTCTCCTGAAATCTCTCACCTGGTCTGTATGAGCCTAGGGATTTCCCTCTTTTTGTCTGAATTTCAGAGGACAATCCATGAAGCAGTGAGTTGCTCCAGTGGGAGAGCCCAGCCCTGGCCTAAGGAAAGGTTGGATGTTGGAGAAGAGCTATGAGGGAGACCCCCTCTGCCAGGGTAAAGGCGAGGGGTGTGTCTGTCCTAAGGGGAGAATGCTCTCTCCACATTCCTCTCAATTTAATATTGAAAGGGCCTATGAATATCTATAAAACCCCCAGGGTCAGAGTTAAGGGTGTTTGGATGTTGGTCAGTATCTGTTTCTATTCACCGGTGTGGGCGTGAACTGAGCACTAAGGTTGGTGTCAGGACTGTTTGTGTGACTTTAGCTTGGGATTTCCTTAGCAGTTAATGTTTGGTTGGTTTGGCTGGAAACTTTAGCTTCAAATTAATGGAAATTTTTTCATGGGAATGGTCTCCTCTTTTAAAGATAACCTGCACCTGCAATCTTACCCTGTCTGTGTGCGCCTGTCTCCGGTTCAGATAGCAGAGTGTCTGGAGATGGAAAGGATAAAAGAGGTGAGATTTCATGCTGTCATATTTTATAACATCCCCATTCTTAACTGACATAATTATGTCTTAATAATGAGAGAGAACCAGAGACACACCCACCTCTTTAATAATAACTAATCTGACACCTTCCATTTCAGGGGTCAGCAGCCTTTGGCTCACAGCCCATCGGGTTAATTCGCGGGCGGGCTGTGAGAGAGTTTGTTTACATTGAGTGTCCACAGGCACAGCCCCCTGCAGCTCCCAGCTGCTGTGGATTACACACAAGAGGCTCCTGTGCTGGAGGGACTCACCAGGATTTACGCCTTCCCTTTTGGCCCACACCAGCTGCCGTAGGGGGCCAGAGCACAATGATGGGCTGGGTCCACATTTCAAAAGTGGCCTGAAACGTTGGGTTCTAAAGTGCTCTCGAGCCCTGTGCTCGAGTTGTGTAGTTGGGAGAGAGAAACTGAGGTACCCCAAATTTTCCTATATTTTTACCTGAATGATTTTGCCAAAGCTCTCTAAATGAATCAGCGTGAGACATCCTGGGGCCTGGGGCCCTGCTACACCTGCTCAATTTGATGACTTTCCATTTTTTATTAAATAGATACATAACCTAATTATTAACCAATTGGCCAGAGTCCAACTCCTCCCACAGTCTCAGAGACACACCATGATTTCCCCTTCCAGATCCCAACTCTCACTACCTTTGAATTCCCGCAGTGTCTCCATTAAAATAATATTTTCTTGGGAGAAATCACTGAGTCTCTTCTCTAGCTCCGGAGAAATCTCCACTGGCTGCTGGAACTTCCCCGCCTCACACCTGGGGAGAGAGAATTTCATTGTTACATTCCAGTCACTAACTCGCCATCATTCCTGGATAGAGGAAGTCGCTGCTCTATAGGGCCTGCGACACAGACCATGGCCGTGCCACCTTCCCCCAAAAGCCCAATTCATGTTCTTCCACTCTGGCCTGGACAGAGCAGATCTGAGGATAAAAGAGGAGTCGAGTTTCCAGGGCGAATTCTCTCCTTGGCCTCCATGCACCAACACTGGTCTGCTCCAGGTTTCTTGTGTGCATCATGCTATGAGATCTTTCTTTCAGGTAGTAAACTGAGACCTCGGCTGCACCCAAACCAGCTCATTCCACACAGGTCTCTAGACAGACTTCCAGTGGAAAAGACCCGTGATCCCTGCTGAGCAGGGTCTGATTATTACCAGTACGCCAGGGATGAAAGGCCCGTATTGCATCCAGGGGCGGCTCTATGGTTTTTGCCGTCCCAAGCACGGCAGTCAGGCAGCCTTCGGTGGCATGCCTGCGGGAGGTCCACCGGTCCTGCGCCTTTGGCGTCCCCACCACCGAATTGCCGCCAAAGCCGCAGGACCGGCAGACCTCCCACAGGCATGCCACTGAAGGCAGCCTGACTGCTGCCCTCCCAGCGACCGGCAGGGTGCCCCCCGCGGTTTGCCGCCCCAGGCACGCGCTTGGGGCACTGGTGCCTGGAGCCACCCCTGATTGCATCTCCAGAACCTTGAGGCAGCCAGTCCCCCAGGGTGTCACATCTCCAGGAAGTACTTTAGGTCAGTCTTTCCCACTGAATAGATATTCCAGAGTCTTCTATAAAAGGCTGAGACCCTCAGGATTAAGTTGATCAGAGAAATTTGTATCCAAAAAGTGACCCTGCCCCATACATTTTGCTGTAGAGTCCTGTGGAGACGTGCTGTTAATGTTCTCTCCACGCCCTTTCACAGCATCGTGAAGTACAAGGTGGGTGAGAAAGAGCCACGTACCTGCTCAAGGTGCTTCTGAAGTGCTAGAGAGGAAAGAGACAGAAAAACCACCTTAGTCTCACTTGCCATGACGCCACCCACTGGGGATCCCAGGGAAGGGATTTTGCAAATATGAGGAAAAGCCCAGGCCATGGATCCGCTGACTCAATGTCACCTTTATATCTCTGAGTGACACTGAGATCTCCAACTGCTGGACCCCAGTGCCCATGATTCAGGAGCTGTCCTGTCCCTGTGCTGGGATCTGGGATGTTTCTAACTCAGTCTCACCTGCAGGAATTCAGTCGCTGGCTTCTGATACTTCCCCTCCAGCTCACTGATCAGCTCACTGAGACGGGAAATCTCCTCAGAGAGTTTGCTGACATTGTCATTCTGTATCGTTACAACCTTCCTGTCCAGCTTCTCCAGCTGGGCCAGCAGGAGTCGCTCTTGTTCCTCCAGGAACTGCCGCAGTTGCTGAAATTCAGACATAATCTTCTGCCTCTCGGCTTGTGTCTGGATCTATTAAAAAAAATGGCAGGCCAGGGACATAGAATCTAGGGTCCTTTCATGGAGTGCCAAGTGTGCAGGAGACACAATTTCTTTGCAAGCTCTAAGATGTCTGACACTTGACTTTACCCTGTGGTTAACAGGGAGAGGATTTCCTAACGCATTCCCACTAGGGTGACCAGACAGCAAGTGTGAAAAATCGGGAAGGGGGTGGGGGGTAATAGGAGCCTATACAAGACAAAGCCCCAAATATCAGGACTGTCCCTATAAAATCAGGGCATCTGTTCACCCTAATTCTCACCGGCCCGAATATCTTTCAATGGGAAGTTTCTATGACTACCATGGGCAGGGCACTGTGTTATCAGCGGTCTATGTTAATCCAGACCCAGAGCAGAGGAGGCAGGACTCAGCACTACATTGACAGAGATGCCAAGGGAGAAAAAAAGAATCGAACAATTAAACAAGGCAAGAAATGCCTGCAGACTCAGGCAGACGGTGCTGCCCGGGATAGAGGTCAGTTCACCTTGGGAGGAGTTTTGTGAAAGCTGCAAAGGCTAGAAATGAACTGGAATGGAAGTTTAGATTCTGCAGAATATGATGTTGTCCTGATCCAGCCAGAGGATTTCGCAGGGCCAGTGTATGTGTGTGTGCAAACATGAATCTAACATAGCAATCCCTGGTCATGGAGAAACACACACAAGTCCACTTTCTCCAAGGCCACAGAGGAATCTGTTTCACAACAGACCTCCCACTGCAAGTCTCTGCAGGTTAATAACACTGGGCACCTACCAGATATTCCCGGGTTTTCCCCTCTCCAGTCACTTTAAATCCCAGCAGCTTTTCTCTCTCTTCCCGCAGAGTCTCCAAATGGGCCTGAATCTTTTCCTGGAGAAACAGAAATGATTTGAGTGAGTTTATTTTGAGGGTTCAGAGTGTGTATGTGGAGAGGGTTTTTTTTCCATCACAACCCAAGACCCCTTAAGGTGACTGTCAGCCCTACGGGGTCCATGACATCAGGAACCACAAGGAAATCAAACCTCATTAACAGAGACTAGGACTGTTTTATATTCAGACAGTTTAGAATAATTTGTCCTCTTTCTCCATTGAGTAAAACCAGCAGGAAACTGGAGTCACATGGTGGCGAATCAATAAACCTACACTTGACAAGTTTTCGCTAACACCTTTGGCTGGTGCTTGGCCACATACACAATAACACCGTTCAGACTGCAACCCAGTCTAATCCCAATGGTATCTGCGCTGTCTGGGGCCCGCCCCTTCTATGTTTGGTTTCAAGGTGCTGGGGGTCCGCACAGCGTTTGGCTCAGTGACCTCCCCTAGTGCTGGTCAGCCTCTGAGTATTACCCCTCATGGAGCAATACGGGAATTCAGAATCCCAGTGGGAAACCTCGGCCTTGAAATGGCCACACTTCATCACGAGCAGGTACTGTCGGGGAGGCAACATGGCCCAGTGGTTGGAGCTTTGGCCTAGGCCTTAGAAGAACCAGTTTCTGTTCCCAGCCACTCATTTCCTGGGCACGTCAAAGCCCCTCTCTATGGTTCAATTTTCCCCTCCCAACCTTTGTGTCTCTTGTCTATTTAGACCAGGGGTCGGCAACCTTTCAGAAGTGGTGTGCCGAGTCTTCATTTATTCACTCTAATTTAAAGATCTGCGTGCCAGTCATACATTTTAACGTTTTTAGAAGGTCTCTTTCTATAAGTCTATAATATATAATGAAACTCTTGTTGTATGTAAAGTAAATAAGATTTATAAAATGTTTAGGAAGCTTCATTTAAAATTAAATTAAAATGCAGAGCCCCCCGGACCGGTGGCCAGGACCCGGGCAGTGCGAGTGCCACTGAAAATCAGCTCGCGTGCCATAGGTTGCCTACTCCTGATTTAGACTGTAAACTCCTCAGGACAGGGATTGTCTCTGTGTTTTGCAGGGGCCCTGCAGAATCCAGGTCAGATCTCATCTGGGATTTGTAGTGGTTACTGGGATGCAAATATTAATAATTATAGTAATGATAATAATTAAAAAAACTCCCCCTTCTCCAGCCTGAAGGCAGCACTCTCACATAGTTGAGCCTGCAGCTCTTGTGATTTAAACCTCACTGATCATTTAGCAGCTTCAGTTGGGCTGTAAGATCCCTGATGACGTATCTCACTAGTGGGAACTAGATTTGAAATGGCTTCAGCTGCCTAGAGAAATGTTTCCCACATCCATCATCTTTAAAGTCTTCATTTTCGCCTCATTAGCCACCTTGCCCTGTACATGTCTTTTCATATCATTTTTCATACAGTGAAGGCTTTACAGAGCCTAATGATGCAGTTACATCCACAGCTGTAGGAGGGAGAAATTAAGTGTGACCTGAGGGGTGAGTTATTGACAAAGTTAACCTGTAATTAACATTGTTAGAATGAATCAGACAGGACAGTGATTCCCTACCTTGTACTCCTGGGCAGCCTCCTCTATGAGACCCACTGTGTGAACTCGGTGAGCCCAGGATCTGTCACACACCACACTGATGGGGGTTTGATCCTCTTCACAAAGCGGTTTGAGAGGCTCCTGGTGCTCCCCACACATCCTCTCCCCTCCTGCTCCCTTTGCTGCCTGGAAACTCAGCCGTTTGGCTATGTCTAGGACATTTGCCAGCTGCCTGTTGGGCCTGAGGTTTCTCTGCTGAACGGTTTCTCTGCACTCGGGGCAGGTGAAATTCATATCGGATCCTTCCCAGCACTGGGTGATGCAGACTCGGCAGAAGCTGTGCCCACAGCCTATAACCACTGGGTCTTTAAAAAGCTCCCGACAGATGCGACAAGCAGCTTCATTCTGGAGACTTTCCAAGGGGCTCTCTGCAGCCATGGCTCCCTCTGGGCAGTGGCACTGGGTGAGTTTCACTTTCCTGAGCTCAGTGGAAGTGACGCCTCCTACAATAATAACTGGGCGTTTCCCTTCCTGGCACTGACTCCTGCTGCTTGCTCGGCTGGAACCAGCCCCCTGGCAACATTCCAGCCCTGGAGGCTTTTGTGGAAAATGCACTAAGAAGGTTCTGGTCCTGCAGTCAGCCCCCTGTGACTCTAAGGGGGGATATTACATTCACAAGCTAAAAAGTTGGTTAAAACAGGAATCAGTGTTCGAAAGGCCTGTTTGCCATTTACACCAAGGCTGCTGGGATTCAGTGTCAAGGGGCCCGGTGTCACCAACTCTCATGATTTTATCACGAGTCTAGGCTACTTAGTGTTGCTTTAACCCCCAGCTCCTGGAAGCATGTGACTACCTGAGACTCTTGCCTGTCAGTTTCTAAAATAAGGAAGTTTCTAGCCCCTATGGCTGAAGCGAAAATCTTGAAATTGTTCCCCAAGCTTCAGATTTATGAGATTTAAAACATAAATCTCAGTGGTTTGAGCATGGGCCGGCTAAACCCCGGATTGTGAGTTCAATCCTTGAGGGGGCCATTTAGGGATCGGGGCAAAAATCTGTCTGGGGATTGGCTCTGCTTTGAGCAGGGGGGTGGACTAGATACCTCCCGAGGTCCCTTCCAACCCTGATATTCTATGAAAACAAACAAAACCTACATTTTCCTTTATTCGACTGACATTTTAGTTTTGTTTGTTAGCTTTTGGGTGTCACTCTGGTTTCATTCTCAAGATTTTCTGCTAGACTAGATTATTTTTTAGTGAAAACTGCTCTTCTCATCCAAGCACAGCACGCTGAGCGCTGGGGCTTTTCGAAAAGAATGGAACGAATTGGGCTACAATGGTAAGAGCCGGGACCAACGCCCGTGTGGAACGGGCTGCACTGCCGACTCTCCAAGGTAGGTAGAAAGCATCCGTCCTCATAGTATCTGAGCACTTCCCTCACAACGCCGGGATGGGGCAGAGACGGGCGGTTATCCCCTTTCTGATACAGAGGAGGACAGTGAGGCACAGAGTGAATAAGGATTTGCTTAAAGTCCACAGAAAAAGTTTGACAGAGCAAGGAATAGAACCTGGGTTTGCGTTCTTCTCTCACTACCACCTTAACTCCCCCACCCTGACAGTCATCACACTGTCCCTCACAACAATCATTAGGCCAGACATATGCACACTGGGCTAGAAATAGTGGACAAGAATTGATTACATGAAGTAAAAAAACTTCTGATTTTTCAGGCCTGTTCTAAAATACGCAGGATATCTCTGAATGCACAGTCACTGCCTCTACTCAGCAATCTGGAGAATTGAGCTGAAATCAACACTAGGAAATTCAGCAGAGACAAGTGCAACGTACAACTCTTTGGAAGGAAAAATCAAACACACAAATACAAAATGGACAATAACTGGTAAAGCAGTAGCATTGCTGAAGAGGATCTGGGAATCATCATGGATCAAAAACGGCATGTGAGCCAGCAATGCACTGCAGTTGCTAAAAAGGGCCAATGGCATCTTGGGGTATGTTGACCAGATTGTTATATAAGACACTGGAGATAATTGTCCCAGTCCATATTGCACTAGCGAGGCCTCAGCTTTAGGAGAGAGGTGGACAAATTGGAGACAGTCCAGAGCAACAAAGATGGTAAAAGGTTTAGAAAAGCTGACAGTGGAGAAGTTAAAAACTGGGCATGTTTAGTCCTGAGAAAAGACTGATAAGGGACCCGGTAAAAGTCTTCAAAACTGTTCAGCGCTGTTAGATCAATTGTTCTCCATGTCCACTGAGGGCAGGACAAGAAGTAATCAGCTTAATCTGTAGCAAGGGAGCTTTAGGTTAGCTATGGGGGGGGCGGAGGCAGGGGGAAGCTTTCCTATTACAAGGGTCCTTAAGCTGTGGAATAACCTTTCCAGGGAGATTGGAAGCCCAATCACTGGGGGTTTTGAAGAACAGGCTAGAGAAACTCCTGTCAGGGGTGGTCTAGATACTTAGTCCTGCCTCAGTGCAAGGGCTTGGACTAGATGACCTCTCGAGGTCCCTCCGAGTTCTACATTTCTATGACTTTATTATCCCCAATCGCTGCTTCTTTTCTTGTGGAAAGTTTAAAAAAAAAAACCCTCTTGCAGCTGTGAGCAGGTAGAGCTGCTCCCTTCCTGAGCAAGAACTCCTCCTCAAGTCAGGGGCGGTTCCAGGCACCAGCGCACCAAGCACGTGCCTGGGGCGGCAAGCCGTGGGGGACGGCCTGCCGGTCGCTGTGGGGGCAGCAGTCAGGGAGCCTTCGGCGGTATGCCTGCGGGAGGTCCGCCGGTTCGGCGGCGGGTACACTGAAGCCGCGGGACCGGCAGATCACCCGCAGGCATACCGCCGAATCCATGTTACCAGTGGACCTCCTGCAGGCGCGCCGCCAAAAGCCGCCTGACTGCCGTGCTTGGGGCGGCAAAATACATAGAGCCGCCCCTGCTCACAGTGCCCTGCTGGTTTATTTTCAGTTTAATAATCCAACCCTGACCCCTGTGGGCAGTTACTGAAAGTCCATCAGGGCCGGGGTGGCATGTGCTGGGATCTCAGCCTGTCCCCATTGCACATGAACGTAACCAGCAGGGCCTGCACTGATTGTTCCCCTTGCTGTAAGTCTCTGTAGAGAATCCAAGGACTCTATAGACCATGGAAACAAACTCGTCTGTCCCCCAGGTCAGGGCTGAGGCCCAATGGCTGAGGCAGCGTGTGTGAGGGGAGCTGGCACTAGGACCCCGGCGCTGCATGGGGTACAGGATGAACAGAGAACTCAAGTCTCCGAAGCTCTCAGGCCACGTGCCCATTCTGGCTGCAGGAGGAGATCTGGGGAGTGGTCTTGTGAGGCCAGAAAAGGGAATTGGGAGGGAAAGGAGGGGTGACCAGAGATGCTGGTAGGGAGATAGTTAGTTCCATGGGCTGCTTTGCGACTGGGTACCACATGGCAGCTATTTAATGCATTGCACTGGGGAACTGATACGTTGTTGCAGAAGGGTGGTGTGAGCTGAAATCATTTTCTTTGAGGAGAAGGTCTCACATGCTGCTCTTTTCCCACAGGGTGCATTGCTTGAGATCCGTAGTCATCAGTCAAACACATTCGCCCTGCTGTGTCTCGTGTCCCTGGGCCCCTCGTTCTGGACTGGCTGGAATACAGCAATGTCATGATGAGATTCAACAGGAAACCGGAGGAGCAGCCCTCTGGAACCAGCAAAGGACACCCCCCTGCAAGGGGGAAGGACTGGTGACTGGCGATGCTGCTGGGGATATAGCTAGTTACATGAGCCGCTCTACACCTGGGGACAATGTTGGACCAGGTGCTCACGTGGTGCAAGTTGAAGTCACTGCAGGTACATGGATTTACACCAGGGGGCGGGGGTCTGGTGCAGCATTACCACTAGTTTATCACATTGTCAGGGCCGGCTCCATAGGTTTTGCCGCCCCAAGCAAAAAAAAAAAAAAAAAAAAAAAAAAAA